AGCTCAGAAAGGTCGTTGGCGAGGCAGACGGCTGATGATTGTCGTTCTAATATAGAGCGACCGGGGAACCGTGGAGCATGCCAAATTTAGAACATTAGATGCGATGACCTTCGTATACCATATAGTCCACACAGCTGCTGCGTCCGCAATTGGAGTATGTAGAATATTTGCAGTGGGCAACACAATGCGCGGGTTGCAGCCAGGTGGCGATGAAAGAGGGGGGAAACCTTACCCAGCGAACTACACCATCCGAACATGATACGAGGCTTCTAGCTAGAAACAAAATACTACTTTAGTTGAGGGAAAAAAAGATCAATCAAGCAAACGGAAGCTTGATTTGGTGTTGGTTTGAAGTGAACGAGGCCGAATAATCACATCACATGCACAAGCAAGATGAGGGCTTGAGGAGGTCAGGTGCGGTGGGGGTTTGGTTAAGGATAGGGGCCAAAGGGTGGTGGGTAGTGAAAGTGTGGGCCAGAGGCAAAGTGACATAGAAGAACCAACCGTGGAATTTGAGTAAGATCGAACTAAACAATGAGAATCTCGTTGTGGTAGCTTTGTTTTTCTTCTTTGGTATGAGAGATAATCTAACAGGAAAAGGGACCAGAAGACATGGAGGGGGCCAAAGTATTGGGCCGTTAATGGTTATGGCCTACTTCGGCTTGGGCGTTTTGCTAGTATGCGGGAGTGCGGATTAGTTCGTCCCTAGTGCTGGCAGGCTCCTTCGTGGGATAAGACAAGATTTGGAGGTTAGACGATACGGAGTACTCCGTAGTTTTACTACTGGTGATTTATTAATAACGTGGCCCCTGACATTGCTGATTTTATCACAATCCGTTGGCCACGCCAGAATTGTACATACAATGTATGGCCCTGGGGCGGTAATCATAGATTAGAAAAGTCCAAAAAGGGCGACCACGACCTGTTATGTTGCTTGGACTATATGGTGCCAAGTACGTAAGTGATATGCAGCCCTCCATCCAAGGTAACCTTTGGGGACAACTTCTCCACCGCGACTGTTATATGGCTGCCAATGGTGGCTGATAACCAGACAAATCGGGTGGAGTTTTTAAGGAATATTAAGTTGATCCCTGCCCTAAAATTTCGACAGGCCGATGGAAGAATGTATCAAGACTGTTGCTGACAGAGAAGCTGATCCTGTGCTCTGTTTGTTTCCGATCAGTGGGAAATCTCAATGGTTGGGACTTGAAACCCACCGTTCTTGAGGTGGAGGGCAAAAGAATCAGTTTTTTTTTTTTTTTTTTTTTTTATCCGATGGGGTATGGAACATGGTCAAGCGATCGGCAAGTTTCGGACCGAGAGAAAAAGAGATACTCCGTAGTTAGTTAGTACAATGAAATCTGAGTCAGCAGAATTGCAAGTACACAGTATGCAGTGTGTCGGGTTTCACATGACATCACCTGAAAAGTCGTGATGAGCCTAGTCTACAAAGAGCCTAGTTAGTCCAGTAACCCCACTCTTTCCCAACTTCGCAGCCTGCGAGTCAAATGCAAATGCAAATGCAATCCATTCAAATGAGCTTCTCGTCTCCCTTCACTTCTTTTCTACTGGTTCGATTGCCGGTCGTAATCTCGGTCACACATTAATTAACCTTCCGCCGGGGATACCTTGACGCTGACACTGACCATCCACCTTTCTTACCTCAGAAAGATCCCCCATGTTTCTTCACTAATCCATCCTTCAATGTTTTGTTTTGCGAAATCGGGGGCTGGGGGCTTAAAGTTTCCCTCCCATGCAAATGAGACTAACGGCGCCCAGGTCCAATATCACAGACCCCCTCTGTGAAAGGGATCGGATGTTCTGGATGGAAAGTGTTTCATCCTTTCCTCCGATGCGAGTCAACAGCCATCCATCCCCTGCGTAAGCTTCACCGAATAATGTTTTCCAGGTCTCTCTTTTATTGAATGTTATGTTATGGTCGGTCCGTGTTTGGCTACAAACGCCCTGTTAACCTCGAGTTTCAATTGAAAATTGTTCACTTTCCTTTTCTTTTTCTTGTCTTTTTTTTTGTTTCTCTCTTCTCTCTCGGGCTTGATTGTGTTTTGATCTCTCTTTTTTTTCCCCGTATTTCTTGAATCTATATTGGTGTGTGGTTGACATCCCACCTTAGCACCCCCTCTCTAGATCACTAGAGACTGCTTCACCATCCTATCCTGAAACGGGAGGATTCCACATGAGTGAACGCCTCTGACACCTATTGTCATGGCTTGTTTTCTGCTTTTTGTAGAGAGACAAACATACTGAGAAGAATCTAACATGCTTGCATCTGTCTTTCTCTATTCATAGTCCTGGGTCTTCATCGGTTACACGTTCCTTTCGGTCAATTTTTTCTGATTGACATCACTACTCACCGTCATACGCGCTTTCCTGACAGAACTCATTCCTTACCTGTTCTCCTGTATTATTCGACGCACTACACCGAGCCTTTCCTGCTCTAGCGGAACGGTTGTCACGTCCATCTAGCCTGCGGGCTTGACGACATGTCAATGTCCAGTCCTTCCATTATCTTCCACCAGGGCTTACGATGTACTAAAGTCCCGCGAAGATCCGCGGCGGCTGTATCGCCTTCCATCGATCTCTCAATCTCAACTTCTTTCCCGATAACAACAACTTCGACCGACAGACCAATCTTAACTACAGATCCATCACCAGCCATTGAGATATCCCCATTGAATGACCCTACTACATTAAGCGCAACGCAAGTAACGGCATCGGAATCGAGCATAGAAACGCCTAGCACGATACCAACGCATCTACCACCTGTCAGCTCTTTCATCATCACCACTACAGTTAGTGGTCCATCCCCTTCAATTACCGAGGGTATTACGAAGACATACAGTCTAGTGTCATCCTATGACTCTGGTTATTCAACGCCAGAGCCAGTCGCGTCAAACCTATCTAGCAATTTCTCGGGTTCGAGCTCCACAGAGGCTATCCTAACGCATATCTCCCGTACTAGAGAGTCTTCAACGGCGGCTACCTCAACGTTAACGGGAGATATCCTTCCTAAAAGCAATTCGGATCATGGAAATTCACATTCATCTCCAGACGATGGCTCACGTGTCTCGCTCCGAACTCTACTTGGCAGCGTACTCGGTGCGGTGGGCTTTGTTGCAGCCGTATTCCTGATCTGCTTACTCTTGTTCAGACACAGGCGGAGGAGATCGGGCGGAGGCCGGTACTTTGGAGGAAACGAAAAGCTTCTAAGGGCCGACCGGCAATCGGCAGATTCCTCGACTGGCTTACAGCACGGATACGTTTCTGGAGGGTCTATGCGCTCGCAATACAAATATGCACCAGAAGCTCAGATGAGCGCATACTATCAGGATGATAGTGATCGAGCATCAGCGTGCTATTCGGATCCTTTTTCAGATTCCGCAGTGTTACACGGAGGATTGCGAAACGGCATGTCTGGAATAGAGGATATAACCCAGACCCTATTCATGGACCAAAAATATGATCAACCGCCGGTTATTCCACGAGCAAATTCCCCACTTCGAACAGTTTCCGATAGCCTTGTACCAACTGTCCATGCGGGGCAAAGACGGTCCGATTTACCCTTGAGCTCAGAGCACGGATCTATTTATAGCAGTGATCATAGCTTGGGCAGCACCCTCATTCTTCCTGGGCGAAGTAGTCTAGGCAGCAGCTTGCAGAGATTCAGCTACCGGGTCTCGGTGGGAGAGCTTGAACCATGCGGTGCAAACGAACTGGTGACTAAAATCAGCCCCCGCAGTACACGGAGTGATCCATTTGATTTGGAAGTTCCAGCGAGGGCGGTACATCCACTTGGTTCAGCGACGCAGTTAAGGCCCTAAGTGTAGCCTTTGATGTCATAGCCCAGGTGGTCGCCGCTAAGGTCTTCCTAAAGAAGCATCAGCAGTGAAGCAGTGGGGTGTGTCTCTGCGGTAATATACGATATATGTGACCCGAGCCATGAACTTCTTTTAGGTAGGCATCGAGAGATACTTGGGGTGGCTGCATTTGTATTTTTCTTTGATATGATTCGTAGTATATTGTACTTTAACTTTTCTTCCACCTCAGCCCTAAATTGGGCAAGCGATGACCATGTACGATACTCCATGATGTAACATTAAAACTGTTGAATGTTACTTTGTCTTACAGTTTCTGATATATATTTATTAACTATGACTTCATCGATGTGCTGGTTGGTTAAACATAGGTCCACGCGATTATTTTATTTTATTTATTTTTTTTTTTTTAAAAAAAAAGGCCTTTCAGGTTTTACAAAGAGACAACCTCTAATAAGGTTTAAGAGGGTACTGTGTTAGGCATATTATTCCTTTGAAGGTAGGTTTATGCGAACTAATATTGCTCCCTCCTTTTGTTTGTGCGTAGGGCCGCAGCGACGAGTTCAAAAAAATATATCTTTGTTGAAACTCAAATGGTCACTACTTCTATAAATAACAGAACGAAGAAAGGGGCTACTTGGAAGGGGAGATTCACCTAGATTTCAGAGTACAGTTAATAGCTTGCTCTTGATGTCGACAGACGACTATAGACAGAACGGGATAAAAAGAGGGGCAAGAATATTTGCGGTGATATACCCACCGTTATGCCTATATTCGTATTTCCCACCCGACTCGGAGGGTCTAGACCTACAGCCGCATGGTGGTTGGTGTGCTTTGAGATTTCATGGTTGAGTGGTAGGTGTAGACGTGCGCCCACGCGGACGATGTATCTACATGTACATAGCCTCATGCTGAACACAATTCACATTTACATGACCTAACCCTCGAGTGAGATTCAGTAAAACGTTACGACATTAGGAGATAAGATAAATGCGGTAGAGAACAGCCTGGTTTGGGGAGGTCGAGAGAGAGAGAGGGTGGTTGAAGAAGTTTGAGCATCCGGGCGTTTGGGAGGATTGAAGAGCAGTTGAAGTAGAATGCAGATGAAAAATCGGAGTATTCGTATCACACAAAGCGCCATGCCATTGTTTTTGCTTTAATCAAATGGTATTTTTCATTCTTTTCCCTGGTTCTCTTTTCAGACGGCCCATGGAAGAAAAGAGATGCATTCATTTCCTTCTGTTTCCCCAAGCCCCCATTCCAGGTTCACCCTTGTACCAAAAACCGTCCCGGATGAATCAAAGCCATTGAGAGAAAACAGATATCATCGACCTAGACTTTTCCTGTAGGCTGACCGAGACTCTTGATTTCTCCTCCCAGTTCAACCTCCGCACCGCCAAAACACGTTGTCAACGGAAGGGAATTTACTCCTGGGCCTCGCCGACCAGAGCGTTGCGCTTGGCCTCGAGACGCTCTTGACGCCTCTCACGGAGAGCCTTGTTCTTGGCACGCTTGGCATCCATCTCCTCCTTGAGGACACGCTCACGGTGACGCTCAGCCTTGGCCTTTTGGATCTGTTGGAAAATATGTCAGTATTCCGGTCGCCGTATCAAGTGTGTGAGAGTCCTGATAATATCGAGGGCTCGCGCATGAGTCCACCGAGAAACGGTGATTGACAAGGGCGGATTGGGCGGAAACTTACGTGCTCAACGAGAGCGCGCTTGTGCTTGAAGGTGTTACCCTTGCTCAGGTGGTAGAGCTCGTGGTAAAGGTGCTTGTCGATCTTGCCAGCAGCACGGTAGCGGACGAGGAGGCGACGGAGAACACGCATGCGGCGCATCCAGAGGATCTGGCTATATTACACGATAACCCATCAGTCAAACAACTCCACCGCGGTATGACCCATCACGATATTGATCCATTGGTCGAAGACCAGCCAACAGTCATTCCTCGTGTCCAAGGGAAAAGTAGGATAACTGCATACCTGGGCATACGGGCCTCCTTGGTACCCTTACGCTTACCCAGACCGCGGTTTCTGCCGATTCTGCGGGCGGCGTTGAGCTCACGGGCACGGACGCGGGAGTGCATGGTAACGGGCTTGCGGATGATGAGGCCATCGCTGACGAGCTTACGGATGGTCTGGCGGGAGTTGGCGTTGGAGATCTCATTCATCTCATTGGGGTCGAGCCAAATCTTGCGCTTGCCGCAGCCCACCACGGAGGCGGCGAGGCGCTTCTGGGTGCGAAGGTTGACCCTGTGGATGAAAAACCGTCGGTCAGCATGAAGCCAAAACTCGATCGAACAAATTTATGCTTCCCAAAGGAGTAGTGCCAGAGGGGCCGTATCGGGGTCGTAGTCAGGGCATATAAGACCACTGAAGAACAGTAATTCCCCAGCAAAGTCACGATATCACGATTTGGAGATGGACTCACATCTTGATGTCGGCGTATCGACGGTCGTTGGCGGATGATGTTCGTTGCACTCGTCGACGGGTGAGAAGCCAGAAGTGAGGAGTTTGAAGATACGCCGGCTGATTAGCTCAGCAACTGTGCTCCTAAGCGAGAGTGATCCACCTTAGGGTTTGTGCCCCAGATCTTTTAAGCAGCCCCCCTCTTCCGTCATTGTAATGAACATTGGTTGGATGGACGTACCTCCAGATCCTTTCTGAGATAGACACCTATCGTAGTATTGTTCTCCCCAACTCTTCGACAGCACGTCCTTATCGTAATCGACTGGAAGGTAACTGACTGACTTTGGGATGTTCGTTGGGGATTTCACTAATGGCGACCACGTGACCATACGCAGGGTAGGGTGGATGTTGACCGCCCGATAAGGACCGTCCGTCTATCAGCCTCTATCTACACTACTCTATCTACTACTATATCTACGTACTGTATGTACCTAGCTACTGTACATCCATACCTCAAGAGAAAGAAGAAGATCATGCATTGGTCACATCGTCGTCATCATCATATCTACTCACATATCTTCACTTCTTTTTGGTTTTGTTTCCCTTTCTCATAGACAACTATAGCCAAACCCGTCATCTTCCCGATAGAAGACAACAGCAACCACATATAAATCGGGGTATAGATCTAGTTCATACAGCGTTGCAGAATAGAACTACCATAACAATCATTCATCCACGGGACCTCCCTCCAAATCCACCTTTCCGATACTCCACAACTCTTTCTCATCCTCCACTTCGTCGTTGGAGAGACCCAGGCCTCCTTGGCCACCCTCAGCTTCCTTGCGTTCCCGCGATTGGCTAGCCAGACGTAGCGCAATTCGTTTGAAATAGTCCGACATACTTCGTTTAGGTCCTGGGGCAAGCTCGGACCCGGGCCCAGCCATATACTTATCAAATACGGTACTCTCTGACTCCACGACTGAGAAGATGGCCAAGAAGGCAGCCTCGGCCGCCAATTTCACGGGGATAACCATGTCGCGAACGCTGGCGAAGATTGGTGGCGCAAGCAGAGCTAGATGGGGCCGAGTCAACTCTGGATGAAGACGGCTGACCGTTCGCATAACAACCAGCGCCAAACGACGCATGTCGGAGGGTGCTCCTGGCTGAATGCACGGTGCCAAAGCTTCGAAGATAGCCTTGTTATTCTCAAAATTGCGATGTTCATCTTCGATCAATAGGTATTTTCCAGCGGCCAGAACACTGTTGTCGGCAATGAAGTTCTTTCGAATGTTAGCGTCTTTTTTGGTGTGCTGGAATCGCATATTAACTCACATCTTTATTTGTCACGCCCTGACAGATAACCGAGATCGTTTCCGCAGCGAAATTCTCCATCAGGGATGATGGAGAGTCAACAAGCAGGGCGTTGAGCCCCAAAATTGATGCATGCGTAGGGTGTGTCGTAAGCACACGGTTCCTTGCAACTCCATTAGCTTCAGTGCCTTACAAGATCATCAAAAAAATAAAAAATAAAAATAAAAACCAACGAGAAAAAGGGGCCATACTTGATAAGAGGGGTGGCAGTGGCTGGAGGAAGAACCTTCACCAGTGCACCAAGCAACTTGGCATTCGTAATGGCCACAGAATCTACCGGGATAATTAGATATGTAATGAACTTTTTGTCGGCTGTCATAGAACCTACCCGTTTGATCGCTAGCGTCGTCATCGATGAGTGCAAGAATAGAATTCTTGGAAGCCTCGCTCATGTTAGCACCGGCCTTGCTAACCACCTCTTGGAGAGCCTTCATCATGGCATTTCTGACGCCAACATCGGCGGTCTTGGTTCCCGTAATAAGCTCTGATCTCTAGGTCAGTGCCAATTCCGTATTCACAGTCTAGAAAATAAGGAAAACTGTACCGGCAATAAGAGGATCAACTCTTGGAGTCAATGTTATCAGAATTCCAAGACCCTTGGCAGCCCTGTCACGCAAAGTTTCGCTGGTCGTGTCTGCCAAACCTCTAGCAAACGTACGCTGAAGCTGTGGCAGGAATGGCTTGACAGCAAGTGGGATCTTCCCCAAAAGCTTGTTGAGAGTGTAAAAGATAGCGCCTAGTCGGTGAGATTAGCTTGCTGTCAATAACTTCACAAAGAAGCACGAATGACTTACACTTAATATCTACCGATCGCTCTGACACCACTCGAATGAGAGGACCTGTGATCTGCGTCACGAAGAGTTTCAAGGAATCTGCTGCAGTACGGTCAATGATGTCACCAATGGCAAGAGCCGCCTGGGTACGCTGCTCAACACTGCCGTTGAGAAGAGCCTGCAGGAAGATCGGCAGGATAGCGGTGATGCCCTTTGGTAAGCTGAAACCAGGAAGACTGGCTCCGGGCACACCTACTCCCCGCAGCACTTGACGAGTGGGGATGGCTAAAACCTCCATTTCCTCTTTACGCATATGGGATGTTAGACCACTCAGTGCCGTCCATGCGGCCTTGACAACACCCTTGTCATTGTCATCGAAGGATATCAGCAAGACGCGAATCAAGTCTTGGTGATATCTAGAGTAGTCGATTGTAGCATCCGAGAAGAACTTGTTCAGGTGAACTGCCGCCTGAGCACGGCGCAGATGATCATCATGCTTCAATAGCGACAGCATGACATTCATAACAACGTTCAGGCCATCAAATTCATCCACTGATACCAAGACAGTGTCGAATGCGTTGCACAACTCGTCGCGGAGGGCATCGTCTGTAGTTGATATGATGTTGTCCATCAGAGAGTTCAGGATTGTGGGAAGTCTGCGGGACATCGCAGAGCCTGCAACCTCAGCAAGGGAAGCAAGTGCCTTGGCGTTGAAAGCAGAAATAGGAGAGGTGAGCAGTGTTGGGATAAGGTTGGGGAGGATAATGTTGGCCCGTGTTTGTTCAGTGAGAAGGGTCAAAAGGGCTGACAGTGCTTGCTCAGCATCTTCCTCATTCCTTAATAGGAGCAGAAGATGGGGCAGAACCTGGTCCACAGCCTTCTTGCCCAGGATTTGCTGTAGAGCGTCGAAAGCTTCTGCAGCAGCTTCACGCACATCCTCATCGTTGTCAACAAGAGCCACCCGAACGGTAGAGATGAGGACCTTCTCATAATCCTCAAGGGCTTCAGCAGTTGCGGAAGTAATGAGTTCCCGCAAGGCAATGCAAATGCCTTGCTTAACGTCCACATCTGTCGATGTTTGGAGCCCTTCCTCGAGGGAAGGAAGCAAACTCGAGAGAACAGTTTCGCCGGCTTTCTTGATAAGATCTCCAAGTGCATTACTGGCAATGACCTTCTGTTCCATGTTCGAGGATCCAAGGCGACGAATAATAAGCTGGGATAGAGTAGGCACCATATCCTTAAGTGTTTTCGGAGACGCAACAAGCGCCTTCCAGACACCCATCGCTGCGCCCTTGACAAGACCCGAGGTATCGCAGCGGCAGATGAACAAGGCAGATAGAACCCTGTTCCTTCTTTCTTCTCCAAGAATCTCCAGTAAGGACTGTCCGGCCTGGTGGGCTTCTTCCTCCTCTTCTTCGCCATCAGCCTTGGCCGTAATACCAGTAATGCTGAAGAGAAGATCACCGACCAGCTCAACCGAGCTCAACCGGATACGGTAACTGTCGTCTGCAAGGCCGCGCTCGAGCTCTGGGAGAAGGAGATCAATAGCCTTGGAAGAGAAATTCTTAACCAGCAAACGACCAGCTTTAAGAGAGGTTTCGCGGATAGAGTCAACATCGTCAGCCAGACCAGAGAGGATAGGCGGGATAATCTTGCCCAGGTACGTCGCAAAGCTGTTACCGAAACAAGCTGGAAGGAAGATAAAGAGAGTCATGAAACCTTCACGAACGGCTGGTTTGGAGCTGGAAACGTTCTGTAGTATAGTAGGCAGTGTCTCCTCGAGTCTCGTAGTACCCAATCCTGCCAGAACCTCGGAAAGGGCTTGAGCAGATCCTAATCTATCACCGGCGCCCGTGTCGGATTTGAGAGTCGACATGAGGTTAGGAATGAGGTCGGGAAGGGCATCTTCTCCAAGTTTCTCAATGAGTGATCCAAGGGCCTTAGAGGCAGTAGCACGAGTAGTGGGCACAGGATCGATGATAGCCAGTTGAAGTCCAGAGACAATGATTGGCAAGTGTGATATGAGATCTTTGCGCTCGGTAAGATGGGCCAAGCTACCAATAATTTGTGCAGACTTCCGCTTTGTATTCGATCTGTCGCCAAGACCACGCTCCAAAATACGAACAACAAGTGCCAGGGAAGGAGCATCCAGGTAGTGAACAAAAGAAACCTTGATAAGGGAATCCAAAGCCTCGTCCGTATGCTTTGTTGGATCGCTCAGAGCTTTCAGAAGCACGCTAACCAAGCTCTTGATCTCTGGGTTACTGATAACCTCGCCGAAACGTTGGAGACTTCGGTTTGCAGCGTTACGCACTTCTTTGTGTGTATCGTTCAGGACAACGGTGAGGGGAGGAATAATATCAGGCAGGCTAGCAGCTAGTTGCTGCGGATCAAGGTAGGCCATCGCACCCAGCAGATCACAAGCACCCTTTTGACTACGCCATTGGGTATCATCAAGACCGTCAAGAAGGGTAGGAAGGATTTTCTTGACGCCATAAGAACTGAGGTTGGAAAAGCAAGCCTTGGCTGCATCAAGACAAGCATCACGAACATCAGCATTGGGATCACCAAAGCTAGCCAGAAGCTGCGGGACAATCTGAATAACATATGGTTCAAAAGTGCGGCCCAGGATTGTCGCAAAAAGTTCGTAAGCCAATAGAGCGCCTTGTCTCTGATGTGGCTCCTTCTTATTTTCAGTGGCTGCGCGAAGATGCGCCATGATCTGGAATTCTCGTAAAGATAAGACACCCCTTCCACTGACAATGCCAGCAAGCCCATAAGCTGCTCCACGTTGAGTGGCATACTTCTTAGACTGCAAAAGCTGATCCAGCATTTCCTGCACGTAGCCAGCACTTTGAGAGCCCGACAGTCTGATGAGAGGCGGTAGACATCCAGAAACAGCGGATTGAACAGATTCAGAAGGAGTTGGGAGGGTAGCAAGCAGCCTCTTGATGACAGTTTGCAAACGCGGATCGTCTGCTTTAAGATGCCGGGCCAGAGAGCCATAAAGAACAACCACCGCCTCGTTGAGAAGGTCAGATGTCTCACTTCCCTTATCTGATGTTTCCAGAGTCGTTTCTAAGATATTCATCAATTCTTCAACCTTGTGCTGACCACGCTCGGCGAT